GATGGCGGGAGGACGCGGCTCGCGCTGGCCATGGCTGCACCGTTTGGGGTGGAAACGCCGGGTTTTGTTTGTCCTCTCCTGGCAGAGCCCCCAGGACTCGTCCTTGTCCCTCTACCAGGACCCCCCCGCCGGAGGCAGGTGACGCTGCAGCAAGAGAGGCCGGGAGCAAGGCTGGGCAGAGGCAGCAGCATCCTGCATCCCTGCTCGGCATCCCGGAGCGACTCCCATCCTGCATCCCTGCTTGGCATCCCAGAGCAATTCCCATCCGCATCCCTGCTCGGCATCCCAGAGAGATTCCCATCCCACATCCCTGCTCAGCATCCCGGAGAGATTCCCATCCCGCATCCCTGCTCGGCATCCCAGAGAGATTTCCATCCCACATCCCTGCTCGGCATCCCGGAGAGATTCCCATCCCACATCCCTGCTCGGCATCCCAGAGAGATTTCCATCCCGCATCCCTGCTCAGCATCCCGGAGCGACTCCCATCCCACATCCCTGCTTGACATCCTGGAGTGATTCCCATCCCGCATCCCTGCTCAGCATCCCGGAGAGATTCCCATCCCGCATCCCTGCTCAGCATCCCGGAGAGATTCCCATCCCGCATCCCTGCTCAGCATCCCGGAGAGATTCCCATTCTGCATCCCTGCTTGGCATCCCGGGGTGACTCTCACCCCGCATCCCCGCTCAGCATCCCGGAGTGACTCCCACCACTGGCCCATCTGGAAGCACCTTCCATCCATCGCTGGCGCCGGCAGGGAGCTCTCCCTTGGCACAGTCCATGGAAAGGCACCAGATCATAGTGGCTGCTCCGGATCCGGTTCCTGTCCTCCTCCTTCCCTTACTTGTGTGTGCGGGCGCTGTGGAAACCTGCCTGCCGTAGGAGACCCGGCCAGCACGTCCAACGTCCCGCACAAGGAGGACAAGCAGGAAAGGATGGTGCTAGGAAGGACCGTCGCCACGAGCTGGACCGCTGTAAGCCATGGGCCAGACTTGCTCTCAGCTCCCGGTTGGACGCAGGGTTAGCCTGGAGGGCTTGGGAACAGACATCCTTTCACCTGGCCTTGGAATTAGTTCTCTTAGCCAGGTCGGGTACCTCTGTTCTGCCCAATGCCACTTTTGGAATGAGGTCTCTGGGTTTGGGAATCCCTCAGTGTGGATGGGGCCCTGACAGCAAGGACAAGAGCTCCCATCCCCACTTGATCTAGCTTCTTCCAGCTAGTTTTGAGGTGCCCCTACTTATTTCAGTGCAGCAATGAAGGCAGCAGTGCCTGGCTGCTACACAACGGGCCTGTCATCTCCTTGCACATCCAAGTTCAAGCGGGTCTGCCAAACCCACAAAGGATTCAGCTGGAGGCCTAACCCGTGATGCTTCCCAAATTCCCAAATTCAGGAGTTGTCTGAGATCCAGGAAAAGCCCTTGCATCTGCTTCCCTGCTCACTTTTTACTTGCTTGGTGGCCTGTTGGTTTCTGTTTTCAATGTGAATATTGTCCCGGGGCATTGCCTGAATCAAACAGATCAATGATGCTCTGTGAGTGCCGGCCCTGCTGCTGCTGTGGCACTGGGAGGCCAGATCCAGAGGCTGTAAGTACGTAGATGCTCCCTGATTTCGGGTTTGCCACGTTTGGACCTCATCGTCCCATACCCCTGAGCTCCCCTGTGCTCAGTAGCGACTGGGGAAAGTTTCGCAGGTGCTGAGCAGTCTGAACCAGGCGCACGTGCTTTGGCAGTCGGTGAAGGGAATTTTCCCCTTCAGCCTGCAATGAACCCATGCTGCAGCATGGTGCGAGGTGGGATCCCACCAGAAGAGCTGTCTCCACATTTCCCTGGAAAACTTTGGCTTCTTCCGCAGTCTCCTGGGCATCCCAGAATCTCCCAGCAGCTCCTGCTTCACAGAGCTGTCTATGGGAAACGATGAGCCGGATCCTGCGCGTGGGAGAGGTTGATGTGCTCGAGGGATGCAGGACAAGTGCTTTGCAAGCCAAGGCGGCTGCTCAGGCTGCAGCCTGGAGCCTGGAGCTCTTTGCCTGATGCAACTTCTCTGCTCCAGTCATTACTGGCAGCTGTTAATCACGCTGCTTAATGCACTTGTGGGCAGCAGCTGGGCCCCAGAGCCACGGGAACTGCGCAACAACCTTGCCTAGAACAGAACAGGGGCAGAGCAGGGCTCATTTCCCTCTGCGGACACATCTTCATCTCTTCCGAGCTCATTGAGCCCTCCGTGCCAGCTGCTGGGGATGTAACATCCACCAAACCGCAGAGAAGTTTTCAGAGGGCTGCTCTTATGTTTCTTGGGGTCCACGCTGCTCTACTCCAGAGGTAGCTGCATTTTCAGTGAAGCAATTCCTGGGCTAATGTTATAATTTTGTAAACAAAGTGCTGCAAATACTTCTCGCAGGTTCGTCCCAGGGTATTTTGCAACACCCAATCATTTGTACAATAGCAGCTAGAAACACTCAGAGCTTTTCATGTTTCGAGTGTGAAGAAGTCTGTCAAATTTCACAACACCAGCCTGAAATAGGGCCCATTTTAGAATTAATATTGATAATTAGCGATGACTAAGCCCGAGTGGGGGCCTTGAGAAATATTTGCTGTCTGTAGTAGCAGATGGGGGATAGTGCAACCCAGTACTTCTAAGGAAGCTGCTTTAGCAGAGCAGGGGCTGAGGAGCCCCAGTGCAGTGGACACCACAGCAGGGCAGTTGTGCTGGTTCCAGTGAAAAGCATCCCGAGGTAGGGATGCCTCCAAGCTGAGTGCCCTTGCACAGGATGTGTTTCCATGGGGAAACTTAAAGGGATCTTTATACTTTTCCCCAGGTTAAAAGCAAGAGACATTGTGCTCGTGAGTCAGTGGAGGCTTGTCCCCGTCTCCAAGGGCCTGGCACCTTACATCTCATCTCATTCTGTCCTCGGCAGAAATGTGTGTCTTTGCCATGAAGAGGAGCCCTCGGCGACACTGCTGCACCATGGCCCTCGCAGGAGGGCCCTTGCTCTAGGGCACCTCTCCACTGCTGCAGCTGCAACCAAAGTGTCTTTTGGGGACAGGCGAGCGCTTGGTGAGCACTCCCAGGCAGCCAGCAGGATGACCAAGAGCTCGTCCTCTCTGCAGGACTTGTATCACAGCAGCACTGTGACAGCCCGGCCAGGCCCAGGGACAGCGCCGCCTGTGACTGTGCCAGAAACGGCTCCTCTAAGCCCCGAAACTACCAGTTTCAACAGCACCGAAATGCCCGATGTGGCCAGCAGCGGAGCCGGCGTGAGCACAGTGCTGCTCTCCTTCGGGATCATTACTGTGATTGGGCTGGCTGTAGCCGTGGTAAGAAGGACCTGCTAAATATTCCTGTCTTCTGGGCGGTGACAAAGGGGCCCTGGGACTGGTTTGGGTTGAATAATTTCATTGTGTTGTACTAAAGACTCACCCAGAAATGGTGGAGACTGATAGTTTCTGAGATCCCTCTCTGCCAAAGTCCTTTTTTTCCGGTGCTCACAGGAATACACAAGTGTCCAGGTTCTGTGGTCTCCCTGCAGTCCACTCCGGGCAGAGCGCTCAGCAGCCCTCAAGGAAGCTGTAGCTAGGATCAGCTTTTAATAGCAATAGGAAGTTAAGTTAAAATAAAGCAGTTTCTGCTCTGACCTGTTAACTGGAATAGCTGCATTGATTTAAATCTTGTCTACGCAGGAGGCCTGCAGGAAAGTTCCCCCAGATTAATTTTTAAAGCAGACTGTTGAAGCCGTATTAATCTCCCCTGTGGACATCTCCTTCTGAACTAACGCAGCCTGAGACCGTTTAACTAGGTTCATTCCAGACTGTGTTTCTGGAGTTCCACTTCCTCAGTATAAGCAGAGTCCTTAAGGATTTGCTGCATTGAACTAACCTGCCACTAATGTTGTAGGCAGAAGATTTCAGAAACTGTAGTTCTGTTGTGGAGAATGCACGTGCTCAGCTTTCCTTCTGCCAAAAGAGGGTGAAAGCAGCAGCGAGCTCAGGTTCCTCATATGAGGAAGAGCTTCACTGTCACAACCAACAGGAACGCACAGAAAGGGACTGCTGCCAAATTCCATTGCAGGCCCAAGGAGGAGTTTTTCCAAAAACCCCTAAGGGAACCTGGAAACACTGTCCTGGAAACGATCGTACGTTCCCGAGAGCAGCACCGAGCGTTCCTAGTTCTCAGAACAGGGCTCTGGAGGCCAAAAGCCTCCCTTTGCTCCCAGCACAGCCGCTCCTACCGGCTGACACAAGGCAAGTCACCAAGCGTGTCCTCTTTGCTCCGTGCCTCTGCTGGGGAGGGGGTGGCTGCTTCTCTGCCGTAGAAAGTCTGCAAAGGAAAACAATGGGAAGGTTCTTCATTCACTGTAAATCACACTAGACGTCCTGCAGCCAGCAGAAATACACTGTGCTACACCTGATAACACACCTGATAACAACATGCTGTCACTAACACACCTCATAACAGGGTACTTGAGCACCCGGTGTCTCTCCAGCTTACTCTGATGCACCCACTTTCAGCCGTCGTGTCTCCCTTTCCTCTCCTTGGTGTCACCAGGCTCATGACACCCCCTCTGTATGTGCTGTGTGCCCCAAATTTCCCCTCCCAACTGTTCCCTGTCTTACTGAGACTGTTATAATGATGGTTTTCCTTCTCCTTCAGGTTCTGTATATCAGGAAGAGGAAGCAGTAAGTAACATCTGTAACATCTGTAACATCTCCCTGGCTGAGAGGAATTAGTGCTTCCAAGCCTAGGCAGCACTAGGAAGCAGGCAGGGAAATGGGGCAGTGTAAGGGATGGCCATCTGGGAACAAGCCTCCAGGGAATCGGTGCATGTGAGTGAGGCAGGGATAGGGACGCTCCACCTCCCCGTACCGGCCCCATGCCAGAGCGTCAGATGCTCCGCTGTCCCTTTGGAGAGGAAAACGTTGACTGGAGAAGGTCAGGGATCCTGGAAACTCTCCACGCTTCACCAGTGGGATGGACTCAACTGAAAAGGAAAGGGGAAATGCAGGGAAAACACTTCTTGATCCTTTTGTCTCTGACAGCAGAAACACTGGTGAACATCCATTAGTCGCAGGGCCTCCTTGCTGCCTGAAGCCTTGTGACAGGTCTGGCCTGTGGTGCAAGTGCTGCTTTTAAACCTGCTCCTGACGCCAGATCTGCGCATTTCTGCAGAGCTGCCAGCGTCTGCTCTGCAGACACGGCCCTGCTGCAGCTAATGGCTGCATTGGCAAAGCCCACAGAGGGGCAGGGAGGGAGGATGCCAGCACTTGCCAAAGCAGCTATTTGTGGTGACGCTGCCAGGAGCTGCTTGGGTGTTTCCCTCCTCCTACCCCCAAAACTCAGCTGCAGCCCAAGACAGGACTCGGCGCTTCCACATGAGTCCAGCCTGTCCTTCCCCCATGACAGAGCTCCTCAGTATTTTGGGAGACCTTTGGGGTATAGCTCTGTCACTTGGAGCAATGGTACAAGAATAAGAATGGTTAGATCTGTCCACAGGCAGCCTGAGGACCACTTTTCTATTATCTGTTTTTATAATAATTATTAATAATTTTCTATTTATTATTATGTATGTCAACCTTTGGCTTGAAGAACAACTCTTAGACTCCTGGAGCTAAATTGCACTCGTGGTATGAGGCATAGTGTGGCACGGCAGGCCTGGCTCTGTGGGCACAGGGACACGGGACAGGGCTGCAGAACGCGCAGCCGCTGTGTCCCACAGCTGCCTGTTCTTGTTCCCCCTGAGGAAGCTCCTTCTGACCCTTCAAGGTCTGCGGGTGTTTAAATCCCCACCAGATTGCTCTGTGCATAATTCCTGCCAGCATGGATTAGCAGTGGCAGCTGATCCCTGGAGCTGCACCCTGGGTGTCCTCCACTCCTGCTGGCTCAGGTTCTCATCCCGGCGGCATGCCGATGGGACCCTTAGGTAGCAGGTGGATCAAGGGCTGGATCCCTGTGCAGCAGGAGGGACAGGCTCAGCAGCAGGGTGGAGGAGGGCATGCCGATGGGACCCTTAGGTAGCAGGTGGATCAAGGGCTGGATCCCTGTGCAGCAGGAGGGACAGGCTCAGCAGCAGGTGGAGGAGGCAGCTGCAGCTTCTGTCCTCATCTCTGTTGAGTTTTGGAACCCCCCTTGTGCCTTCTCTCCCAGGTTGGAGAAGCTGCGCCACCAGCTCATGCCCATGTACAACTTCGATCCCACCGAGGAGCAGGACGAGCTGGAGCAGGAGCTGCTGGAACATGGCCGAGATGCAGCATCTTCCCAGGCATCCCAGAACAAGGTGAGCAGCAGGAACCAGCCAGGCTGTTGTCACCATCACTGGCACCTGCACTGCTTTTGCTACAGAATGCAGGAGTTTTTGTAGGGTTGTGCAGTCAGGAAACTATGTGAGACCTCAGGAGGGTTTTACCCATCTCTGCTAGCCTTGGAAACAGGGAGATTGAGCATTTTAGAGGCCTTAGGATGCCAAAGAGGCAACTAGGAATAAGAGCCTGGGGAGGCAAAACGCCTGCTCTGCACAGCTACGAGGGGGAGCAGGGAAATCTCAGCAATTAAGCTGATTTTTACGGCAGCATATCCCCCAGGACACCACAAGGGAGCAGCAAGGGGCCTGCAACTTGCTGGAGCTTCAGGTGCTCCCCAGACACTGAGCGGCCCTTGCCTTGCTCCTGAAACACAATTAATTTCCGCACGGTTTTAAGGTGTCCCTGGTTAGTGTAGGATACAAGTAGGGAACAAAGCCGTGCTAAGAGAGACATGACTGTTAGATAACCATTAGGAAAGGGCAGGCAGGAAGCCTGGGCATGGCAAGGGCATGGGGTACCTGATCTTGTCAGCACCTTCAGGCCAGCCTTGCAGGGAACAGGACAAGCATGGCTCAGAAAAGGATGGAGAGTTTTCCATTTGGGTTGGGTGAAATCCAAATGCTTTGAACACGCTGAGAATTCATTGCATGAGACATGCTGAGAAATTATGAGCTCCCTGGAGACCGCTGAGTTACTCCATTAGTGGGTTAGGAAAGGGCCAGTTGTTTTTGGTTACTATTGTTAATGGCCTAGATGGGTCTGAGACACGAGGCTGTCGCCTCCTCAGATGTTTCAGGAGGCGGGAGGGGTGCGAAGGGCTTCTCACCATTGTTTGCAGCCAGTTTCCCAATGTTTTCTCTTTCCTTCTTCAAAACTACTGCACACAAAATGCCTTTCTGAAAGACAGAGCCGGCAGGGAGGGTGGAATAGGAATGTCTGTGATGCAGCACCTCACTGAGAGGGGACCTCTGTCCTTTAGCTCCTCTCCAGCTGCTCTGTGCTGCCCATGTCTTCACCTTTCCAGCTAGAGGAGCAGGAGACCTCCCAAATCATTCTGTTTCCACTCATTTTACGCCTTTAGATAACCTAATCTGTGGCAGATTTGATGTGGGCCAAAAGAACAAAGGATAAAAAAATACAGAAACTGTAGTTATAAAATATTTACCTTGAGGAGTATTTCCCAATCTGCCAAAGAGCATGTGGGAGATATGTATGTTGGAATGTGGGAGATACTCAGCATAATCCATATACTGGTTTGGGAAAGCAGAGAGATGCTGTCGGGTAACAGATGTTGACCTCTTATGTACCTATGGCAGGTACATATACAGTGCACTGTGTTAGTGCCCATGGAGGATCTCCCTTCTAGCAGTGAAGGTGGGGAACGACAAGGACAGAGTTCAACACGGCACCATAAAGTGCCTCCTTCCTGTATGGTGACAGTCCAGCAGGATCCCCCAGATCCCCAAAGTGCTTGCTCAGATCCCTCTGCTTCCAAAGTAAGTTTAAAGGCTTAAAATAACAAGAGAGGGAAAAACTAGTATCCAGAGCTCAGCCTGTGGCATGTTTCCTGGCTGTGAGGTTTCAGATATTCCCATGCTCCAGGTGACATGTAAAGAGCGAGTTACACGTAACAAATCTGCGTGGTCCTACATAGCTCCGTATCTGCAGTGACGGGGAGCCCGAGCAGTCCCGCGTGTGCTGTCGTGCCCTCTGGCCTGCTGTATTTTCCTGCCCCAGCCTTGCTGGTGCCGCCTTGGTCTGTCGCGCTGCTGTCAGTGAGCCGCCTCGTGTTTGCAGACGTGGCCGATGCCATCAGCGCGTGAGCAGAACCTGCCCCTGCGCGGGGACCGTGCCCAGAGCGCGGAGGCCGGAGCCGACGGGCCGGTGACGTCTCGCGAGCGGGACCGGCCACCCAGCGGTTTGTGTTGCACAAGCACCCACGTGGCTTTGGACCGCAGACCTTTTGTGATGGCAGGAGCAACATTTGGTGTGTCCGTTGCTCCTGGAAGGTCCTGGGCTGCCATGCTGCGGTTTTGGGGCTGGTGCTGAGTGTCAGCAGCTGTGTGCTTAGGGGCAGTGCTAGCTGTGCTGTAGATTAGCTGATTTAGAGCCCATGAAGGCCAGGGAAGGAGGGGGGGTGTTTCAGGGAGCTGCCCCATGGGCTGCAGGCCCAAGGAGAGCCCTAAATGAACGTGTCTGTGCAGTGACCGCAGCCTCGGCAAGGCCCAGGGAGATGGTGCCAGCAAAGGCACTTTGAGCTGGGACAGCTGCCCCACGAGCTGTGTGCTCACCGGGGCAAGGGCTCTTACCTCTTATTCCCCCCAGGAAAACACATACCTTGAGGTTTATCCCCCTCATGGCTTGTGACCTGCTGATAAACGTGCGCCCCGGGCGATGCTGCAGCACGGGCAGTTCGCTAGCTCTGAAAAGCAAAATGAAGAACATTGCACTGATCACATCCTAACTGAGCAGGGGGCTGAACACCCCGCTTAGGACGGTGGCCTGGAGGGCTCCCAGGGGCAGGGGGGGTCCCGTCCTGTCCCGTGCCGGGACTGCCCGTGGCTGTGCCAGGAGCGAGGGGCTCTGCGATGCCGCGGAGAGCAGATGGGCAGCACAGGGACCCTGACGGCAGCATCCTCCCCTGCTGCGGCTCAGGGAAGTTTCTACCCTGCAGACAGGTGTAGACAGAGGGGATTAAGGCTTAAAGACATTTTTTTTCCCTTAAGAGGAAAAATATTTATTGGCTTAACATTGCACCTACCCCGTCCTGTCCTGGAGGTGGCTCAATAGCTGTTTTTTACTCCCTTACCTGCCTGGACCTGCAGTCAGGACCTTTTCTTCTTCATGCTGAAGAAAACAGAGCTCTGCGTTACCTCCACCCACGCAACCTGCCGGCGGGTCGTGTTCATGGTACCTGAAGGTGGGTCTGGGCAGGTAAAACGGCAGCTCCCCGTGGCCCCGGAGCACTTCTGTGCATGTCCTTCAGGGCTGCGGGGGGAAGGAGCGTGAGGACGAGCTGCAGCCTTGCGGAGGCCACGAACGCTGCTGGCCAGGGGTCAGCACGTGCATCGTGAACACAGAGCACGCCGTGAAGGACAGACACGAGGGTTTCCTGTGTCCCTTCCAGCCCCCACGTCGGCCAGGACGGCCACGGCATCAGGCACCATCGGCCCTGCCCCATCCCTCAGCCAGGAGACTGCAGAGGTGGGCTTCATGCACAGAGGTTTTTCACTGAGTGGCAATTGAGGCATCATGCACTTTGCTGCAAGCAAGCACTCTCCCCACCCCCTTTTGTTCCCCTCACAGTGACTTTTCCCCCTTTTCACAGCTGTGAACAATTCCCTGTGCATAAATCTCTGACCCCTGCAGCAAACAGTTCCGCACTAGCCCTCCACTGGCACAGCTCTCCTCTTGGCAGTTTTGCACTAAGCTAGTGAATAATTCCTGAAAATGCATCTCCCTGTCCAAACCTGGAGGCTTCTGGGTGTGCAGCAGGGTTAGAGGACACTATCCATGGGTCTTCCTGGCCGTTATCCCAGTGTCACCAGCCGAGCAGTGTTGCCCTTAGAACTCGCAGAGTTGCAACTTGCTTTTTTTTTTTTTTTTTTGGAATTCTCTGCAAAAGGTACCTGTAGGCTGCGCAGCGTCCTCAAACCAACAACTTCATGCTCTTAACCCAGCTGTGTCTGCTACCGCAGGTGCAGGAACCTGCACCTTGTTCCAAGTTACTCTGAGCTGTACCTTGTACAACAAACCCACCTGCAGAAAATCCTCTTTAGCCATTCTTCCAGCAATGGCAGGATTTGTCCTGTGATGGCTGCTCTTAGATTAATGAAGGGCAGATAAGGAGACAGAGAATATTATGGGTATATGCTGGGCTTGCTCCGCTGTATCTTTTAGAGTAATAGCACCTCCTTTCACAGTTCTTGGACGTACGTGTTAGCAGAAGCGTTGTAATTTAATTCAAGTGTTTTTCTGTTTTAAGCATTGAAATATAATTAAAGTATTTACATTAAATCAGTGTGATTGTCTTTTTTCCTCCCTCATTTGCATTCTCCGGGCAAAAGGGCTGCAGTGTATCCTGGTACCACAGCTGGCATGCAGGGAACTTCCCCTCTTTCCAAACCTGAGCTTTGAGGGACAAGCTCTGTGGGGTAGAGGGTTAGTGTTCCACAGCATGGAAACCCAAAGCTTCTTCAGGAAGCCTTGAGAGCAGGAGCTTCCAGCCCAGCAGGTCCCAGGCATCCAAGACAGCTTGCAACTTGTCTGCACTTGTTATATTATCCTTTAAACAACTGAATTTCTGAACGAACTATAGATTCTCCAGATTTCCACCTGCAGCTCTGACTAGGATGGGCTGCCCACCTTGGGGTGGGTATCGTGGGCAGAAGCACTGGCAGCTCCACACTGGGACTTGCTGGGCTTTTCCAGAGAACCAGTTTGCCTTCTCCTTCACCTTCTGGCCTACAGACCTCACACTTAATTAGGAAAGCCATCGGATTAACCAAAGAGGCTTTAGAACAAGATTAACGGGATCAAAATTAGAAGTATGAAAAGTTAAATAATTCTATATCACATAGAACCATGCATAGCACAAGCAAGCTCAACTGTGGCAAATTCTAGGTGTTTATATGCAGCAGAATTGGCTTGTATTCAAAATAAGTTGGTTAAAATGCACTGACAGATGCACAAGAGGATGGTACTAGTTACCAGCACACGTGTTTAAGGGCCTGCGCTTCACTCTGTGCATGGTTCCTCGTGCTCATTATTCCTTGTTTCCACGTAGGTCCATGGGTGCTCCCAAATGGCAGGTTCCTTTTTCTATACTCCTCCAAACTGCAATTCAAGTAAAAAAGGTGGAACTTGCATTGCCTGCTCACGTGCAGGTGTGCTGATGTGGTTGCACACGGGGGAGGAGGAGCAGAAGCTTGAGGTGCTGCATCATAAACCTTTATTAAAAACAAACTCCAAGGCTAGTCACGAGTTGCCAACACGCTTTATGCCTGCACCAAAACCAGGAGCTGCTCCAAGCTTTTCTGTGTAGCAAATGCCCTTTACCTCCCGTGCACTGATCTGACTGCAAGGAGCTGGTGGTCAGCAGGGACTTCAACCCTGCTTACTCTCCTCAAGCAGATACATTTTCATGGAGATCTGTTTTCTACTGTGGTTTCCAAAAAACTAAGAGGTAGCAAAGATGTCTTTAAGAAATACTTCATATAGGTTTTCCTATATAAAGTATTCATATATATTCCTTTCCCTTCTATTCCTTATATTTCCTATATTCCTTATATTTCCTATATATTCCTTCCTTTCCAACAGGAATACTGTTGGTCTAAAGCAAATTGATTTACTATCTAGCTGAGGCAGCTTCTATCCCTTGCCCAGTGCCCCAGGTGAGGAAGGGCTGACCAGAATCATAGGAAAAGCTTGAAGGCCTTAAAATGCAATCCCTAATCTGTTGCGAGAAGCCAAAATCCCAGTCTCGCCTTGTAACAGCTGTTGCACGAGGTACAAGGGAATTCATGGAATACGCAGTAAAGCCTTGCAAGCAGAGGATGAAAACTCCACTCATCAGTTCACTTGCAGGTAAGGCAGAGAATTTGGAAAAATATCTTGGTTTCCCACTGCAAAGGGCTTTGAATGCAGACACGAATCACAGCTGAACTTTGTGTCTGCTGGAGAAAACCAGCTCTCTAAGCTGAATCCAGAGGAACAGATTGGATTTTCTAATGTAACCATCAACAGCTACAGCTGCTCTTGCATGATGTCCCACACAGATTTCTTCACACAGCAGGAGAAGGGGGGTCAACCTCTTCCCACACCTGGCAACAGGTCAGAACACTTTGAAAAGAATAACCTAAATGGGGAAAAACTATTTTTCCCATTATTGCTTCTCATTCGGCCTTTTGCCTTAATAGTGCATATGTTCCCTTGCGTTATATAAATACCTGGTGCCTATGGTGCAAGGATAAATGAGCTTAGTCTATACAGCTATTTCAGGGGTTTCTGCCATGCACTGCTGTATATTTAAAGCCAATTATGCTCTATTTCAATATTTAACAGTGTAAAGCTGGCTGGTTTTACGTCTTGTCAAGGGTGATCAAAACACCCACTTTGTCCCTTGAGCGGGCAGAGCATCCACCAGGCAGCAAATGCCACAAGGATTCTGCTGGCCGTTAGAAACAGCCGTATAGCTCAGCATTGAGCAAGAAGGGCTCTGAGGCCAGAAGTGTGGATCTACACACGGCCCGAGAGCCACCAGCAGCACCGTCAGCGCCGACGGCTACTGCTCTGCCTCAGGACCGGGCTGGATCTGCAAGCTGGGCCTTGGGGAGCTGCAGCACGAGAAGAGCCCCGTGCATGCACAAGAAGGCACCCCTGTGACTGAGGGTATAGTGGTATTTATGTGGAATCATGAGGCTCTGCAAGGAAGCAGCCCTCTGGGGGCTTTGGCTCCTCATGGGCAGCCCTGTGACGTGATGAAATCCAGTCGTTGTGGCTCAGCTTGTAAACACTGCTCACTCAAAGTCGCTATCAGGCCCTGGGGGAAGCACCACCAAGCCATGCACTGGTCATGGGAAACCGACCGCAGCTAAGAAGACCAAGAGAGAAGCTTCAAATCGTGAATGCCCAAGACAACAGGGTGTGAGCTGACACAAGAGGCAAATCGTACAGGTCTCCAGCTTCCCCCTTGAGCAGCCAAGTGGCTATTGGAGCAGGAACATGAGGCAAGCTGGATGGTGGCTCCACCGCAGTTGGAAAGGCAAGCAGGGTTCGCATCCTGACACAGCGAAGCAAGGGACTTGGTGATGAGTCTCGCGCT